GAAAACTGGCTTGTAAATGGCAAAGATCCATTTCCTATTAATATGTCTCACAATTATAGAGTTAAATATATTACAAAACCCAAGTGAGGATAAAATCAAACAATTGTTAATATATTATTGTAAAACTATTGTAAAAATATATCAAATCCTGCTTCTATTAATTACTACTGACTCCCTCCGCCGTGTATTTGTGAATCGGAAGACGAAATTTTCTATTTGAATAAACGTCTGTTCTGTCTTGTTCATGTTATGGAGAAGTTAATTTTTTAATGCATTTCTATCATTTAAACTCTACCATAAACTCTAAGGTCAAACGATTTTATTAACATAGACTGAGTCCCATGTTCTATATCACTGAAAAACAGATCAGACGCAACTTATAAAACAGTGGTTAATCTGTATCACTTGATGTGTTGAAGTACTCTGCTCACAGTTTGGAGATGCTTATTAATTGAGGAGGTTAGACTAAGTAGTGATACTTCACTTCACTGACCAGTCTGATGATTGACACGTCTAACAATTGGGGCGTCTGACAATGGGGAGTGAACCGTGTGGACCCTTGTTGGGGGTTGCCGACCCTGTATCCGGCCATGTGACTTTGCTCTTCAAACTGTGTAGCGATCCGTGCGACCCCGTAATACATGACGGCGTTCTTCTGTCAGTGGCTTCAGTGAGGATCGAGGGTGTATAGATGTAAGTACCTTTAACATTACTCCGCTGTGAGAGCTGTGTAATGCATGGCATCGAGATGGTAATGTTGGATGGTAGATTGAGGTATATACTGTGTGAATCCTTTGCTTTAAGATCATTATGGTTGGTACAGCTTTGATCATTCATAAAGATCATGAAAGTGGCATGGTTAATTGAACACGTTCACGTGCAATCATACAAAACGATAATATCACTTGTTTGGTTCATTCTTGACCAAACACATTCAGATTGCATGATTGATACTGTGTTTTTTTCACAATGCACACCTGATGATAGGGAAATGACAGCTGACAATCAACCTTGACGAGTGTCCGTGACAGCTGAGCTAGCGTAAACCGCTCCAGGCATGAGACAAAATAGCTCGCCAGGGACAACCTTGTACACAATATATACAGCTGGATCGCAAAGATAAATCGCCAAAGGTTGGGTTACTGTAGTGACTCGTCTCAATTACATTCTATCAGTCATGGAGTCCGCATGTCCCGAATGTGAGAAGACGTTCTCAAGGAAAGATGTTATGTAACGACAAAGAAGGAGCAAGCGCCAGATGAATTTCTACAAAATCATTGCTGCATAGTATGTCCCTCATCCGCCGCAACAGCCTCCGACATCACTGCAGCCACCGCAGCCACAGACATTCCATGCACCCGAGCACTTCCCGATTTTCCGATGTTGTCTCAGCAGTACCGAGTGGCTGGGGAAAACCATGTTTGTCTATCATGTCCTGAAGATGGGACTCATTATTGAAGTACCTGACACTACTGTATGGTTTAGTTTGGCAGCCCCTTTATGATAGTATATAGGAAAACATACCTCAATTTGAACTTTGTGAAAAGCATTCCCTACAATCAATTGGATGAACTTTATTTGGATGTCAGGAATAACAACATGATTGCGGGACATGACTTTATGTCTGATGACAAGGATGATCACAACTATTGCACGTACTTCCCATCATAAAATGTGATAAGTTTTCTTCTATTGCAAAACCTGTTTCCCCAGAGGAAAAGGGTCACGTGACATGATGTAACTTTATTTCATTCTCCTGTAGACTCACAACAGGTTAATATATTTGCCAGGCGCATTTATCCCCTAAGCATTTATGGAAATGTACACAGAAACTTTCAAATATCCCTAAGGGAATCTCACCATCGACCTGAAATCAGCTGGACTAGGAACTGAAAGACTCAAGTCTAAAAGTTTGGAGAGACAACAGAGCATCTGTATAAAGGAAGCTCTTTCTGAAGAATCACTTCAGTATCCATACACCTGTGAACATCATCTAGGAGCCCAAAGAACATCTCACGAAACTTCAAGTGGACACTGACATACAAGCAACTGACATCAGTGATCCGGAAGGTGACAACGTGCCTGCCTGTGATGGGTGTGGCAATATCTTGGAAACTAACCGCAGTGTCCATGCACGAACGTGTTGGCCTGGAGCTGGTGACGAACCTTCAAGTGGACACTGACATACAAGCAACTGACATCAGTGATCCGGAAGGTGACAACGTGCCTGCCTGTGATGGGTGTGGCAATATCTTGGAAACTAACCGCAGTGTCCATGCACGAACGTGTTGGCCTGGAGCTGGTGACGAACCTTCAAGTGGACACTGACATACAAGCAACTGACATCAGTGATCCGGAAGGTGACAACGTGCCTGCCTGTGATGGGTGTGGCAATATCTTGGAAACTAACCGCAGTGTCCATGCACGAACGTGGTGTCCTGGAGCTAGTGACAAACCTTCAAGTAAACAAGCTTGAACTTGACTTGGCTACTTCTGAACCTTACACGAGTCATGTGTTTCATAATGTGGTCACTGTGGATGATAAGGAAAGAGAGGTAAAGTACTAGGGTCTTTGTCGGAGAAAACACATGAGATCATACACACGCCTTGGCTAGGAGAGAAGAATAAGAAAATGAAGGTGGAAGTGAGAGATGGATTGAGAAGAAGCTCCAAAGTGTTGGGAGGAGACATTCCTGGGTCGATTAGCCACAGCAATGCGTTAGTTGAGCTACTTTCGTTACGGACCTCTCTTTAAACCTATTCTGGAAGTGAGATTTATGGATCCTGATGTTCTATCTTCTAAGATCAAGTAGGTTATACGAAGTAAGCTGTCCATCCTCATCTATTCTTCATCAGACACAACTCTGCCAACGAGCTCGAGGACACCTGTTATTCAACCAAATGAGTGAGTGAGTTTGAGTCGCTTTGAACAGTATTTCAGTCATATTGCGGCGTGTCGGTTTGATGTGGGAGGAGAGCCCGAAGTGGTGCAGGTCTCAGAGGTTAACCACTTTGGTGAAACCACGAGCACGGATAGTGCTGATGAAGTCAATGAAGCGTAGACAGGACGAGACTTATACCCAACACAAAGCTCGCAAATGTATTTTCTGATGTAACACCTTGTCATTATTTACACGACTTTTAGTCAGTATAAGGCCACTGGCCCCAAATACAATGTACATTAGCATAGCAGATATAAAACCATCGGCACCATCTGCACGATATAGTTAAACATAATACATATGGATATCAAATATAACGTTCATGCATTTATGTGCATTGGAACATTAGTTTCATTAGTCCGTTTGCTCATAAATGAATTCATTAAATGAATAACAGATATAAATATACAATAAATATTTCATAAATTTCATTCAAGCTGTGTAACTCCGTCGAACATTCAATAGAATATTATTTCAAATGTCAATGTATTCATTGAAAGTATAGTACATAATTCATTTTAAGAATTTTTAGAATTCCTAGCCAGATAACCTATATAATTGTTTCATTGGAGGATAAAAATAGTACAAGGGTTATTGCCCTTTCTTTAACTCCATTGGTGCCAACAATGTGGAACTTCTTCATCCTCCTATCAGCATCCACGTGTAAGCACGTGTTTTGTTGACACTATTGTTGCCATCGCGGTATGTCCCTTTCTTTAAAACACGGTATTTCCAAGGGAAGGATCGTCAGTTATCAAGCCAAGACTAAGAACTGGAGCTATACATAAACCTCACTATACCGCGACGGAGGCTTTACGTAAGTTGCCATGTACAGATTCTTCTGATAATGTACGTTAGCAAATCGTTATGTTTTCTGATTTTGCATAAATCTGTGTATACAGTTTGATTATTTCCACCAAGACGTATTTATATTGTAGTTTGACCACAGATTTGTTTATAAAGTCATAACATGTAGCAGCGCGCTCCTCTGTATAAAGCATATATGCCACAACAGACTTATTGTCTGTAATGCCAGCAAGTGTGGACTCGCTCTGTGTACTGCAGCCGTACATCCAAGAACGTGTTTTGTCACGGAATTGGGTAGATTCGTGTCTAAGGTTAAAAAGAACATGTTTTCGCTGGAGACAGGGCATTGGCACTTGATAACTCCATTTTCACATATCCTCACAGACATAAATAACGGAACGCAATATCGAAGAACGGCTGTTCATCTGTAACACTGTTGGGGGGCAACCGACAACTCGGTGTCAACTCGACCGCTGTAAGCGCAACCGCTGCTGCGGCTTTACTACTACTACTACTACTACTACTACTACTACTACTAATTTTACCAATGCAGCAAAACGAGGCCAGAGCAAAATCACATCACCCCGTATGTAAATAGTGAAATGCTGAATACATATTTGATAAACAATGTTCTAAAAATGCTATGAATTTAATGTTATTAACTGAATGTTATGAAATGTTATTAACTGCATGATATGAAGTGATCACTCTTACTACATGCCAATGCTGCAGTTACCTATATTGTGTTTTGCTTTATCCAAAATGGCAGACGTTACCGAGCGAAAACATATATAACGAACTGACTTCTCCCGTGCATACAGTGTATGTTTATGGCGCCATGTCTATGTCAGTGACCTGTACAACTATTACCAAGGTCAACGCATGACGGGCTCCCTTTCAGACGTTATTTGGCATGGAGTGGAATTTTCCACAACCTTAATTCAACACAGACTATCAAAAGCATTTACGTGGCGGCGAGCTTTTTCACCTGTTTTTCTATAAAAACAAACATTTCTATATTTAAACTAGCTTTCACTTTAACTGTTGGCACAACAATGATATTTTAAATTACCTCCGACATTATTCAATCGTTACTCAAGAGCTGTTACAATCTGCTTGCAAAACAACTCGGGTTTTTAGACGCGCCTGAACTTGAAGATAGTCTTTTTTGGACGCGACATAAAACCCAATTTCACCTCACCTCACCTCACCTCACCTCATCTCACCTTACCCCTTGATGTTTGATTTCAGGACACAGAACTGCTGCACCCACGTTAGAGACGTGTAAAGCTTCAAGGATAAGGACAACTCATAGCGACGTAAACCAGGGCAATGTCGTCTTCCACCGAGTCCCGGCTGACAGGAGCGGACATCGGAGTCCTCGTCAGTTACTTTGTGCTTGTCATCGGTATCGGGCTGTTTGTAAGTACAGCTATTTCTCCAGGGGCTTGTCTCCCTGGCGTGGCTTGTGTGTTTTGCAGTAGTTGTTATATTCATAGAAGACCGCCTCCGTGGTCTAGTGGATAGAGTGTCTGCCCGTAGAGTGGAACGTCGGTGGTTCGATCCCCAGCCGTGTCATACCAAAAGACGTTAAAAGACCGCCTCCGTGGTCTAGTGGATAAAGTGTCTGCCCGTACAGTGGGTCGTCGGTGGTTCGATCCCCAGTCGTGTCATACCAAAATGCGTTAAAAGACCGCCTCCGTTGTCTTGTGGATAGAGTGTCTGCCCGTAGAGTGGAACGTCGGTGATTCGATCCCCAGTCGTGTCACACCAAAAGACGTTTAAAGATCGTTCCTGTTGTTAAGCTGCATGGTGATCGGATTAAGGAGATAAAAGAGTGACTTGGGCCAAGGCTCAGATCACTCACCATAGGCTCGGAGCACTCCACCACCCTCGTAGGCCTAAATCATTCCCAGAATAAATACCATTTTATTATCGTTATTACCACGTTATAACGACTATGTATATTTTATTATAATTAGGCTTTCAATGTATAATAATTATGACTTAAAAGAGGATTTATCACTCTTTTTGTTATCGAAATTGCAACTTTGATCGTAATAGGCATTGCTGGGATGTCCTGAAGACAATTGTGTTGCAAAAGATTAAATAATACGGTTCCTTCTTGCGAGTGCTTAGAGGCAGTGACCGAAAAAATATCATGTCCCTGAACATTGGCACGGGTGGCCCAGTCGTCCAAGGCGCCGCGATTCGCTGTGCAGATTTACGTCCCTTCGGCACGCAAGGGACCTATGATTGTGGGTTCGAATCCTGGTTCGCCCCGATATTGTTTCTAGGTTTGTCAGCACCATGCCCGTGCACGTGGGTTTCACCGAAGTGGTAAACGTCTGAGACCTGCATCACTTCGGGCTTTCCTCTAACATTTAGCTGACACGCCGCGATATATCTGGAATACTGTTAAAAGCGGCGTTAAACACAACTCACTTACTCACTTTCTCTGAACAGGAGATTTTATCTTCATGTGTCAAAGTAACTCTGTCGTTAGCAAGCCAAAAGGATTCGATGTCTGCACGGATAAATACCCATATATGTTTTCAATGAAAGTTTATCATGTCATGGCAAACGTTTATTTTAATGAGTACATTTAGATATACTTTGCAATGCAGTTCTTCTGCTGGACCTGTGTTTTCCCAAAGTGACGTAATTTAACCGGAAGTTCTGATAAAATCCTTTAATCCTGGGGCTTTGTTTTAATGTGGCACTCCGTATTACGTGTGGTTTTTGAAAACCGGAAGTGACATACAACTGTTATGAGACTGTTTAAGTCATGTGTTTCACCAAACCGGAAGTGATGTGATTAAACCGAAAATACATACCAATTTTCAATGAAGGTAACCATAATCATGGGGAAAGTGCCGTTCCTAGATTATTCAAACCGGATGTGATGTCATCACACCCAAAATCACGTGTATTTTCCAAAGCGGGAGTGATGTCATTCATCAGCGGAATGTGTGAGGATGCAGGCTGTAGAGGTAATGTGAATCACACAAACTCGGGTCTGATGCTGAGAGACTATCAAGTTGAATCTGGGATCGAACCTCGACCAGCGTTTCCAGGCGACAAAAATGACACAATCACTTAGAGCTATATAGCTAGTTGCCCGTGCTAAACGACAAAAGTAACCAACAGACAAGTAACACCACCCCCACAAAGTCACTTAAGCCCATGTTCCCCTACTCCATACGCACACCCACACCCGACCACAATCAGAAAATATGAAACGCGTTTCAATACAGTAGTTCCCAATATAGTAATGTTTAAATTGGCTTATTTTTTCAGGCCATGTACAGAGCGAACAGAAGCACAATAAGTGGCTACTTTCTAGCAGGGAGATCCATGTGGTTTCTTCCGGTACGTATGTCACAGCAAGTCATGGTCATATGATCAACTCTTCAGGACAAAAGGTCCAAGCTACACATCTGGCCATCCGTTATCTCTCGTCCATGGGCCTGAATTATAAGAACGAGTGAGTTAAAAAATTATGTCGCAACGGCAATTGTTTCAGACATATAGCGACGAATAAGGTTTAGGGAGGATGTCCCGCACCACAATGAGAATTATTTAAAAAAACTCACCGTGAAAACTCCTGTGAAGATCCGGGGTAGAATATGTCTTCGGCAACCATCGCCTGCCCTAAAAGACGACTATGCTTGTCGTAAGAGGCGACTAACGGGATCGGGTGGTCAGGCTCGCTGACTTGGTTGATGCATGTCATCTCCATCGTATAGTTGGAGTGGGGCTATAAAACAACAAATAAACAAACATTTTATAAATTTCATTTAAAATTCAGTAGTTTTTTATACTAATTCTTCCCATGCTTAACCTATGGGGATTTTCTTCCTCTCATCGAGGTTAGACGCCCCAAACATAGCAGAATGAAGACGTTATAGGTCACAGATAGGAACAGGGACTATCCCCTAGAACTATTTTTGAATGACTGGTATTTGTATACATTGATAGTAATCAATTCCATATAAGGAAGAACTATGACGCGGAAAGAAATGGAAAGTTTTAAACATCCGCGCAACTAACCTGACCTCTATTGTGGACAATGGCGCTTTCTTCACTCAACCGGGTGCGCGAACCGAGATGACCAACTGGTGAATGGGAAGCTAGTCGGGCAAGACAGGGTTAATGCCATCAACATACGAGGCATAACAATGTGAACAAACGAACGCGTTATATTTCCACATGATACAGCTTCTCACACTGAGTTCACCTATATAGTTAACTTATCTTTCAAAGCAGCAGGACACGAAATGTCGGCATCTTCTTCCCATTAGCCCGACGAGGTCAGGTGCACAAGTGTTCGCAATTGTTTCATTCATAAGGCGAGTAGATACTGACCTAATATCCCTAAGCAGGGTCGAGTGACAACGCTCCGTGTTACCATAGCTTCAAGTCAGGAGGCGGTTATTTTTTAATTACACAGGTTACGGTATTATCACGGTATTAATACAGTTGAGAAAATAGTTCATTAAACTACAAAAAAAACCACTAAAATGTCCTTAACGACATGTACGCTCGATGGTATACTCTTCAAAAAAAGAAAAGCAAAACGTATATTTGATTTCATCTTGTTATTTTTAACGAAAAATCCAAATATGATATATTTGTCGAAATCGATTTGGTTAAGATTGCCTTTATACCAATCAAGAGTCGTGTTGACAGAAGGTCTTGATTTGTATAAAGGCTTTGCTCGAGTAGTTTTTCATTCACCAGTCTGTTCAAATCGGGGCTAAACTTAACTCACTCACTCACTCATTTACCTGTGGGTCCTCTTGGGTTGCGCAACCGGCCGAAAAAAATAAGTGCCATTGTTCATAACAGTTGCCAGGTCAGCGCGCGGGTGTATAAAACTTTCCATTAAAAGATGGTATTTGTTGTTACCCTGCCTGGCGCTCGACACTAAAGGCGATAAAACAAGGGCTGGTCATCTCGGAGTCAGTATAATAGGAATAGTCATGAACGCGGCGTTAAAACCAAATCAACCTCTCTCCCTCCACTAACACACCGCACGCCCAACCCCACACCCTCCGAACATTAAATGGTCTCTTGACAATACATTTTTGCTTCAATTGCAGATCGGCGCGTCTCTGTTCGTGAGCAATATCGGAACGGAACATTTCATCGGGCTCGCTGGCTCGGGTGCTGCAAGCGGCATCAGTGTTGGAGCATGGGAGCTCAATGTGAGTGACTGAATCAGATGTCTAGGCATATCCAGACCTCGTTAGTCCGGAAACTCTGTAATCTAGACGACAACCACTCGGGACGTTTTATCAAAGGATCGTTACTGTGTACTGCAGACTTGTTATTCATGAAGATAGTTTAATCAATGAAAATTAATAATAAACTTCGTTAATCCGGACACCATTAATCCAGAAACACAGTCAATCTTCCGGGCGATTATAGTCACTCTTTCAGCCCCCACACAAACAACAATCCTCCCGACCCCTCTCCCCCTTCTCAGCTGTTTAAGCCTATACCCGTCCCATTTTCCCCCTTATATTTTCTTGAGAATAACTTAATTTAGAGCAATTGTTTTCCGTGAACAATTTTGTTTTGCATCTTTGTTTGGTTTTGGTTTTCAGGCTCTGATGATCCTGCAAATGACAGGGTGGATATTCATACCTGTGTACATATCCTGCGGGGTAAGTACCTGCCTCGTGTAAATCAGTTGTTACCCAAAACATGTGACCTAGCTTTCCTTGTTAAGTTTAATTGTCAACGATGTCACTTTACATTGTCCTATCTGCAAACAAATATCACACCATAGGTAACTAAAGAAAATATCCGCCGAATGTCATTTGATATCAAATATATCGATAAAACTCGAGTCGATAATCTTTTATTGACGAGTGTTCAAAAGACAGGAGGATGAAATTCTAATAATGATTCAAACTGTATTTTCATTGTGATGCAGTAATCATTGTAGCGATATCTCCTAGACTTGTTCTCACCCAAGCGAGATCTGCTGTGGAAGCCATTATTGGGTGATAAATATATGGTCTAGATTTGTTACAGTAGTTCTCGTGGGCGTGGTCATGTGACTCGTGACATGCAACTAGTTTACAGATAGAGAGGTACGACAGGACAAGAGGCGAATGTCCATGTGGGACGCATCTTCCATTCAATCTAGCATTCACCAAGGCCCACTTGTACAAAGCGATCTTAGCGCTAAGACTATCGTACGCCGAAGTTAAAGTATGGGAGTTACGATCATCTTACCCCGTAGATCGTTTTGTGCAAGTGGGGACTGGTATACAGGGAAACCAGATTCAACCCCAGCATTTTATACTCGTATTTTTATACCAAACCCTCATCATACAGACTTCGAACAGACTGGAACATAGAAACCCCCGACTTAGAATACAGTTTTGTTATTTTCTGTTGTTCCCTTCAGCCTCACGTTTCTAACGCTTCTGAACCAACCTGGAATATACTGGACACAAAGTTTTGTTTAACAACAGATATTCGCTGAACATATTCCGGAACTCGTGTAAAAATGTATAGTTTCGCATCACTTTTAGAGAAAAAAATGCTTGACCGAAAAGAGATTTCGAAACAGTTAGGCTGGTCTCACGTGTCTGAATAAAGCGTAAATCAACCAGAAAGTCGTAAACCTTCCGCTTTATTTGCCGAAATTCTTCTTTTGTAATAAACCCCAAAAAGGTTATACCCTCCTTAAAATATGTCCTTAAAATATGTCCTTAAAATCTCGGAACGTGCTTGAAACCAACTGGCTTGATATCGGACGCGTTGATACCTTAAGGCGATTGTCCATAATTCCTTATAGGATGTGTGTTTTTGTCTAAACTGACATTTGCTAGGAATTTCAGTCGCTATGGGAACACAGCGGAGCCATCCTTGAAGTGATTTGGAAGTTACACACAAACATGAATGGCAAGAGTCCTTGTTTTGAGGAGTAAGAATGGCTTTTTTCAGCGTATTATATTTTTATAACAATCGTCGTTTTCAGAATTTAACAACTGCCATACACTGACAGCAGTTCCCTAATCAAGGATATGGAAATTATTCGCTGTTGCACTGTAACAGTATACAGTGAAACCTCGTTAATCCAGACTGCACATTTGGACATCCGGACTGACGGGCTGACGGGGTTTCCATAGTAACAGGGTCTTGGCCGAAGGGTTTTGGGGTTATCAGCGTCTAGGCTCGTGGGGCTTCCAGACTAACAGGGTCAACACTGACGGGGTTTCCAGACTAACAGGGTCTAGACTGACGGGGTTTCCGGACTAACAGGGCCAAGACTGACGGGGTTTCCGGACTAACATGGTCTGGTCTGACGGAGTTTCCGGACTAACATGGTATAGACTGACGGGGTTTCCGGACTAACAGGGTCTAGACTGACGGGGTTTCCGGACTAACATGGTATAGACTGAAGGGATTTCCGGACTAACAGGGTCAACACTGACGGGGTTTCCGGACTAACAGGGTCTAGACTGACGGGGTTTCCGGACTAACAGGGCCAAGACTGACGGGGTTTCCGGACTAACAGGGTCTGGCCTGACGGGGTTTCCGGACTAACAGGGTAAAGACTGACGGGGTTTCCGGACTAACAGGGTCTAGACTGACGGGGTTTCCGGACTAACATGGTCTGCATTGACAGGGGTTCCAGACTATCAGGGTCTAGACTGACGGGGTTTCCGGACTAACAGGGCCAAGACTGACGGGGTTTCCGGACTAACAGGGTCTAGACTGACGGGGTTTCCGGACTAACAGGGTCTGGCCTGACGGGGTTTCTGGACTAACAGGGTAAAGACTGATGGGGTTTCCGGACTAACAGGGTCTAGACTGACGGGGTTTCCGGACTAAAATGGTCTGCATTGACAGGGGTTCCAGACTATCAGGGTCTAGACTGACGTGGTTTCCGGACTCACAGGTTCTACACTGACGAGATTTCCGGACTAACATGGTCTAGACTGACGGGGTTTCCAGTCTAACAGGGTCTGGACTGATGGGGTTTTCAGACTCACAGGGTCTAGACTGACGGGGTTTCCGGACTAACGGGGTCTCGGCTGATGGGGTTTTCAGACTAACAGGGTCTAGACAGACGGGATTTCCGGACTAACAGGATCTAGGCTGATGGGGTTTTCAGGCTAACAGGGTCTACACTGACGGGGTTTCTGGACTAACAGGGTCTAGACTGACGGGGTTTCCGGACTAACATGGTCTGGTCTGACGGGGTTTCCGGACTAACATGGTATAGACTGACGGGGTTTCCGGACTAACAGGGTCTAGACTGACGGGATTTCCGGACTAACATGGTATAGGCCGAAGGGATTTCCGGACTAACAGGGTCAACACTGACGGGGTTTCCGGACTAACAGGGTCTAGACTGACGGGGTTTCCGGACTAACAGGGTCTAGACTGACGGGGTTTCCGGACTAACAGGGTCTGGCCTGACGGGGTTTCCGGACTAACAGGGTAAAGATTGACGGGGTTTCCGGACTAACAGGGTCCAGACTGACGGGGTTTCCGGACTAACATGGTCTGCATTGACAGGGGTTCCAGACTATCAGGGTCTAGACTGACGGGGTTTCCGGACTAACAGGGCCAAGACTGACGGGGTTTCCGGACTAACAGGGTCTAGACTGACGGGGTTTCCGGACTAACAGGGTCTGGCCTGACGGGGTTTCTGGACTAACAGGGTTAAGACTGACGGGGTTTCCGGACTAACAGGGTCTAGACTGACGGGGTTTCCGGACTAACATGGTCTGCATTGACAGGGGTTCCAGACTATCAGGGTCTAGACTGACGGGGTTTCCGGACTCACAGGTTCTACACTGACGAGATTTCCGGACTAACATGGTCTAGACTGACGGGGTTTCCAGTCTAACAGGGTCTGGACTGATGGAGTTTTCAGACTAACAGGGTCTAGACAGACGGGATTTCCGGACTAACAGGATCTAGGCTGATGGGGTTTTCAGGCTAACAGGGTCTACACTGACGGGGTTTCCGGACTAACAGGGTCTAGACTGACGGGGTTTCCGAACTAACATGGTCTAGGCTGACGGGGTTTCCAGACTAACAGGGTCTAGACTGACGGGATTTCCAGACTAACAGGGTCTAGACTGACGGGATTTCTGGACTAATAGGGTCTAGGGTGATGGGGTTTCCAGACTAACTGACCACCCGATCCCGTTAGTCGCCTCTTACGACAAGCATAGTCGCCTTTTACGGCAAGTATGGGTTGCTGAAGACCTATTCTACCCCAGATCTTCACGGGTCAACCCTTCTGGAAATGCTCATCTTTTTTATACGGGTCTCATAGGCGATGTTCTATGCATCATATCAATGAGGCTCTCACAACAGGCGACTGTTTTCAGCATAGTGACGTTTGTAATGTGTGGGTCAAATCCAATTTTAAAGGTTCTAATTTCTTTTGCAAGGCAGTTTATAGTGAGTGAGTGAGTTGGGTTTAACGCCGCTTTTAACAGTATTCCAGTTATATCACAGCGTGTCAGCTTAATGTGGGAGGAAAGCCCGAAGTGATGCAGGTCTAAGACGTTTACCACTTCGGTGAAACCCACGAGCACGGGTATGGTGCTGACAAACCTAGAAACATAATCGGGGCGAACCTGGATTCGAACCTACAGTCATAGGTTTCTGGCGTGCTTAAGGGACGCAACTCTGCACAGCGAATCGCGGCGCCTTAGACGACTGGGCCACCCTTGTCCCCAGGCTGTTTATAAGCCAGATATAAAGCCAGGATGTTTATAACCAAGGGAGACATCTGTCTGAACCACGCATCAGTACTTATAACTGTTGCGTTTCGGTGTAGGTTCTAACACCCTTATCAAGCAAGTGATATACAGAGTATGGTTGACAAGTATATATGCAGTGTTTATACAGTAGAGTAGATATCAGATGTAGTTACACTGGAATTGGGAAGCCTGTTATGTACACAAAAATGGAAGTAAACATATTGACCGGCGAAGTCAGTAATATAAACAAAAGGGTGAGGCCAGTAATATAAAGAAAGGAATTATGACTGATTGTACTCTGTATATCGCTTGCTTGATAACGGTGTTAGAACCTACACCGAAACGTCGCTCCTTATCGTAATAAAGAAGTTGTTCATCCCTAAATCTTATCCTTAGTACTCCAACTTCTAAATGCCTCTCAAAGAAGTAATAACTATTGGTTTGGCTCTAATACCTGAAGACGTGTCCATGCCACTTTTGTACTGTATTCCAAAGCTCAGAATTATCATTGATTTGCCTTTGCATGTGTTTGTAACGGGAGGGACAGAATATGATCTGGTATCGTCACTAATTGATAGTGATTCATAAACATATGTTCATGATACAGTCGGAATCGTACAACGGACTCTGCTTTTATGAGATATTTCTTATGATTATGTTCGTTTTGCCGCTTTAATTTAAATCATACCACGGATGGCTAGAGTAGCGCTCGGTTGAGTAAGTAGCTGGTAAGCGTGTGTATTGTATGGCATGAGTGATTGTTATTTAATACCACAGTCAGGGATGTTGGTGGTATGTCACTCAACAGGTGGCTCACATCTACACCGTCAGGGCGTGATGATCATGGCATACCACCAGTCAGATCAGTGTATCCCTGATCCTCACTCGCTTCTTACGACAAGGATCTGGTACTGGGATTCACCTCTGGCAGGAATCCCCATTGGAGGTGCTGGAATCTTTGACATCAGAATCTCTTCCAAAACCCACATATCACATCACTCAGAGGCAACGTACTACGATAACGCGGATCGCTTGTCACACTACAATGTGTGGGACCCAGGCAGCCATCTAACAATCATACGCTTTTTTTTGTAAAATCCGAGACAAAAATATTTGTGTCCAATATTTAAACAAAATATTCCAATCCCTCAGAATGTGAAATTATCGGTGCTTACAGCTTAATAAAACATCATATGTTTACAAATATTGCTTTCACTGACAGACCTACACTATGCCGGAGTATCTTGCCAAGAGATTTGGTGGAAATCGACTGCGGGTCTATTACGCTGTTTTATGTCTTATTCTCTACATCTTCACCAAGTGCTCGGTACGTTCCTATTCATGATAATTTCTCTTGTATGTCTATATTTCGGAAAATGTATGTCAGTTTTCCACAAATGCTATTATTTCACATGATAATTGTTTTCATATTGTTTGTTCATATTAAAACCATAAATTATATATGCACCTAGTTCCAATGCATGTGGGCTTTTACAATTTTTTATAATATTGATAACATTAAAATGTTGCCAGATATATTGCTGGATCCAGCAAATGTACCACCAAATCCCTGTCACAAAGATTAACCACACTCCATCATACAATCAAGGAAGGACTTTCTATATACTACACAAAGTATTTGAGACAAGTGGACTTGATATTGAAAGGGTTTTGTCCCTTTTCTCTTCACAAAGCTTAGATACTGACTCCTCAAATTTTCATGCAAAGGACAGATCAAAAGAAAATGTTCTATATCATCAATGTTTATTTAAACAAACATGTTTACAATATAAACATAAACTTGTTTCGAACAAAATCATGATCATTTACAGAGCCATCCTGACAGTGAAATGATGTATTTATATTTAGAGTCATCTCAGAGATTCGCTTCCAAACAAATGTTTCAGATTTCAAATGGCATACTTCATTTCACACATTGTAATAACTTAATAGAATCATTGTAAAGTATATTTATAAAATCTCATTATTTAATTCTGTCCAGGGGGATCTTTACACAGGCGCGTTGTTCATCCAGCAAGCTCTGAACTGGGACCTGTACGTCAGCATTGTGCTCCTCATCGTCATCACTGCCGTCCTTACATTCACAGGTAAACATTCTCCAGGATTGTTGGGTTAGGTCTCTGACAGGCATTTGAAAGTTGGAAGAACATGAATACAAGATGGTTTTATTCTTCTTTATTCTTTGGATTGTTGGTTCGCCTAAAAACTTATCATTTTGAGAAATCAAGGTGGTTTTGACATCTTGATCACACCTTTGTAGTATACATATTATACACAACACCAGTTGACTAGCGTAAAGTAAGAGAGTGAGTTGGGTTTAACGCCTCTTTTAACAGTATTACAGTTATATCGCAGCGTGTCAGCTTAACGTGGGAGGAAAACCCGAAGTAATGCAAGTCTCAGTCGTTCACCACTTCGGGGAAACCCACGAGCACGGGTATGGTGCTGACCAACCTGGAAACATATTCGGGGCGAACCTGGATTCGAACCCACAATCATAGGTTTCTGGCGTGCCGAAGGGACACAACTCTGCACAGCGAATCGCGGCGCCTTAGACGACTGGGCCACCCGTGCCCACCACTGGGCAGATAGATAGACCAAGTGAGATCGTAGGGTCGATCGATCGATCGATCACCTTCGTCTTTCACTTATAGAGGTATAGCCAACCAGTTGCACATGTATACCCGTTTGTTGTAAAGACTGTTACGTACCCGTTTATTAAATAGCCGCTTGATTTCTACCTAAGCGATCCACAAACGAAAAACAGTGGCCAAAAATTCGGAACAAGTCTGCACCACATCCGGTTATAGGTGCACCTGCGCAACGTCCTTACTTACGAATGTGACTAAGCATGGCGACATGTCTGCGCCAAGAAAGTTTGGTTTGGCCACAGGGGAATGTAACGCAACAATAAGCAGCTACAAGACATATGGTATCAACCAGTATCAGAACTATAGTAAAAAGAAAGGGATGCAACCCAAGTTCACCAAGTTCGTTCGTAGGTAGACAGGAACGTTAACGCAGTCTATTTCAAGTATAACGAAGGGAGATAATTGTCGGCATTTCCTATGCAACCCACGAATATATATATCTGATGGTGTCATTGTCATGTTTCAGGTGGTCTAACAGCGGTTATCTATACTGACACGCTGCAGGCAACATTGATGGTGGGAGGAGCCCTCTACCTCATGGCAGCGGGTAGGTGATGGGGGGGCGTGCTGGTTGGGGGTGAGGGTGGGGGTATTTGTTTTGGCGGGTGCGCTTTGGTGCAGGGCAAAACTAGAAGAGTCAAAACAAACAACGGTAACTGATATGGATTAAATTTGCTCTAAACATGCTTAGCTTAGTGCAAGGGCATATTTTTTTTAGGAAATTGTAATCAACAAGCCAGTTTGAAGACGATGCAAGTCTACTAAAGGTAATATTTTCTGTACCGTAGCATGGCATGCGTGGTGTTGATACCTGTTACTTTCCATATCTCACTTATCACATAATCAAGGTCAGGGTGTATTACTACGCACGAATGTATAACGGAGTATCGTTTGCATAAATGTGTTTCTCGACAAAATCTCCCTTTTTTAAATTTTATTTTTTACTAATTGACTGCAATAGTTATAAACGGGACAAGTGGTTTTGTACACTGTGCATATCCGCGTAAGTGTACACACTAGTTTTATGTTTAGAACCCAAAAACCTATTGCAGTCAATTCTTTTATGTAAATGTGTCAAAAGTAATAATTTCACAAACTACTTATGTAATCATTCACACAAAAATACTGACGACAACAATACGAAATCAGCGACATCATACAGATGAATAACGCATCAAAAGCACCGCCCTTACTAGTATCAGCCAACCAGGAAACAGTAGTCCGTTAGTGGGCGCGGCCTTTTTTCTCGGTTTAGCCAATCAAAGCCACGGAATCACTTGTTATTCATTAATATCAAAGTCTATCAAAATTGTAAACAGCTAGCGTTCAGGCAGTTGGTAAATAAATCCATGGTTGTTCATCTGGCGAAGGGACAGGAGTTGATGTAAGTAATACGAAAATATCAAATCCATTTAATTTAACATAATTTTCTGACAATAAATTATTTATTTGTCATGTCCATGCAAGAATGCTTTTCTCCCTTTGAACAAGTGTCTTGAAATCCCTAAATATATTTTAAGTATATTCTCCTATTGTATAGGGCTAAAACACATATGGCACGATTAAGTTCGTGGGCTCTTCACTTGTTATTTATTTATTTATTCATTCATTCATTCATTCATTCATTCATTCATTCATTCATTCATTCATTCATTCATTCATAGTAAAGCGAGGTTAGCTTTTATAAAATAAACTTATGCAAATGCTTTTTTACAGCAAAGACGGAAAAAAGCCAGAAGGCATTTCCGGTCAGGGTTTAGAGAGACTGTAGTATATGCTTTTCACAAATGTTTTACTTGACGAATACATAGTCTTCTCATCTCGAGCCCGTATTACCAGAGATGTCGTTAATCTGGATGTACGCCCAACGTGTGTCTTTGTTCAAAAAAAATCTTTTTCAGAAATCCGTTTGGTTACATTTTGGAAACTTTAAACTCTCCTTCAGCTGACGTCAATGTAAAGCTTTCCATCTCTATTTCTTTTGCAAACATCAGGATTCTATGAAATCGGTGGGTTCTCGGGGCTTCTTGAGAAGTATCCCCAGGCAGTTCCAACCAACGTCAGTGCCATTGTGCCCGGTACCACCTGTCACCACCCCGACAAGCAGGCGTTCCGTATGTTACGTGGGGCAGGGGATGACTACATGCCGTGGCTCGGCTTCCTCCTCGGACAAACGCCAGGATCAATCTGGTACTGGTGTACCGACCAGGTAACAGGGTAGGAAGAGTGAGAGCGACACCGAACAAATATAGGTTTAAACATTCAGGAGGGAGGGTGACAGAGACAGAGAGTAAACTTAAGGCATACAAATATTTAATGAGGCTTTAAAAGTTTGGGCGGTGGGTTAGCCTAGTGGTTAAGGCGTTCGCTCGTCACGCCGAAGACCCGGGTTCGATTCCCTGGGTTTTTGGTGTCCCCCCACCGTGGTACTGATGGAATATTGCTAGAAGCGGCGTGAAACCATACTCACTCACTCACTAAGAACATGAGTTCATGACCTTTATGGATAACAATTTCATTCTCAGAACAACTACTTCGGGGGGCACAGGGGTGGGGAATGGTGGCCAAGTCGTCTCAGGCGCGGCGATTCGTGTTGTGCCCATGCAGTGTTGTGCCCATTGGGCATGCCAGAAACCTATGATCGTGAATTGAATCCCGCTTCGCCCCGAATATGTTTCTAGGTTTGTCAGCACCATACCCGTGGGTTTCACCAAAGTGGTAGATGTCTGAAACGTTCTAAAACTGACACGCCGCGATATAACTGAAATAATACTGTTCCAAGTGGCGTTAAAACTCACTCACTAACTCACTCACCTTCATCAGGTCTGTCGTTACAAATAATAAAGTTCTGATCCATAGATAGTTTCATGTCTTCATGATGTCCCAACTTTAAATGTCAATATAAGGCTACAGCGATGACGGCTATACAAGTGAGTGAGTGAGTTGGGTTTAACGCCGCTTTTAACATTATTCCAGTTATATCACGGCGTGTCAGCTTAATGTGGGAGGAAAGCCCGAAGTGATGCAGGTCTAAGACGTTTACCACTTCGGTGAAACCAACGAGCATGGTTGAAGAGCGTCGATGATATTTATCATTGTGATTCGCGACCCGTGAAGATCCGGGGTAGAATAGGTCTTCAGCAACCCATGCTTGCCGTAAAAGGCGACTATGCTTGTCGTAAGAGGCGACTAACGGGATCGGGTGGTCAGGCTCGCTGACTTGATTGATGCATGTTATCGATCCCAATAGCGTGGATCGATGATCATGATATTAATCACTGGATTGTCTGGTCCAGACTCGATTATTAACAGACCGCCGTCATATTGCTGGAATATTGCTGAGTGCGGCGTTAAACAACAAACCAAAACCATTGTGATTAGCGTACCGTAGTCTTCGTTTCAAGTTCAAGTGGCAGCTCAATGTGCGCTCTTCATTTTCTCATTTTTTTTTCAGAATAGCATATTCTTATTCAACTATGATATGAAGACAATTGGCTACTGTAAATCTTGAAATTAATGCGAGTGTGAATTAAATGCGAAAAATGCAAGGGGTCGTTGTTCGCATTAATGAAATGTCGCATGTATGTCTCCAAAATGACTATCAACAATCTGCACACGTTGGATAGCGGAAATACCAACTTGAATATATACACAAACACTGTTTATTGAGCAGCAGTTGTAACAAATACATAGCAATGTCAAGTGAAGGCTGTAGGGAGTCGCATTGATTTTGAGTCGCACTTTTGGCATAGGTCAGCAGTCGTATTAATTTGCAGACGCATTATATTAATTACAAGATTTACAGTATTTTCATGATAAACTGCTTCTGTTACCAGTACCATGTTGAAATTTGAAACACATTGCATATTAAATTAAGTATTTGGGGGCTTTTGCTTTTAAGGGATACAAATGACAAACATGAACAACTGCCATTGACTTCATTACATGACTGTTGCCTAGGTGATCGTTCAGCGCGCCCTGGCGGCCAAGAGTATATCACATGCTCAAGGGGCCACACTGATGGCTGGCTTCATCAAGATACTTCCTCTGTTCTTCATGGTGATGCCGGGGATGATCAGTAGAATCTTGTATCCAGGTGAGCTAACTTAATGCACATTGATTCCTAAGTTCACCTGGCAGAGGTGATCTAACACATTATTGCGACGTATTATATGAAATTTCGACCAACAGTGTTTGAAGATTTGACATATTACGAAGGTATCTTAGAAATTGGAAATCGTGGCGTTCAGTCGGTTTTTGTGGCATTCCACTATGCTTTGTCAATCAGCGGTTTCAAATCACAGGTTTGAAATACAGTAAAATACGTTTACACGCTTATAACGAACTGACGGATATACAAACTTCATTTTGGTCCCGGCCATTTGCTATATGTATGCTTATAACAAACTACGGCTATAATGTACTAAAAATAGCGGTCTATGTGAGTTCGTTATAACCGTAGTTTACTGTAGTGATATCTACCATTTTACAGGTATGTTTAAAAATGTAGATTTGCAGTAATCATTATATTTAAAGGATGTGTGGCAATTCATTTTGGGCCGAAAGTACGATAGAATCAACTTGTCGAGCGGTGTCGTAAGAGTGAATTGTGGTGAACCTTGCTTAATTGGAGTGTAAGTAAAATGCTTTTAGAGTAGAGTTGATGTTTAGCATGTACAACGCCAAACTATTTTGTGTGTTCCTTCACTTCTGATCGACAAGACCCGTGAAGATCCGGGGTACAATAGATCTTCAGCAACCCATGCTTGCCGTAAAAAGGCGACTACGCTTGTCGTAAGAGGCGACTAACGGGATCGTCATCGAATCCCAATTGCGTGGATCGATGCTCCTGATGTCAATCACTGGATTGTCTGGTCCAGACTCGATTATTTACAGACCGCCGTCATATAACTGGAATATTGCTGAGTGTGGCGTTAAACAACAAAATAACAAAAAAACAAAACAAAAACCATTCATACAGAGTTCGCGTTTTGTTATGTCGTGTTTTCAAAATAGAGCTAGCTAGGTGACATGTAAAACCAGTAAAACCTGTAAATTACGAATGTAACATCTTTGACCTGTTTCTGTAGATGATGTTGCTTGCACCAACCCAGACTATTGTATGTCTGTGTGTCAGAGCAAAACAGGCTGTTCCAACATCGCTTACCCTAGACTGGTCCTGGGGCTCATGCCTAATGGTGAGTTTTACCATGTTCTGTTGCAATTCATAAGAGAGGGTCAACACACTACAATTCTATACAGATGTTAATATTAGATTTCTGGATTTAATTGAGTGGTATTTTTGAGTGGTTATCATCACTCGCTTTCTACGTCAAGGGGACTGATGATGGCTGTGTTTTCTGTCTTGCACGATGCCTCTCCTGTTGTCTACGCACAGGTGCTCGAGGGCTGTTGATGGCTGTGTTGTCTGTCTGTGCATGGATTTTATCATCTTGTCTACACACAGTTGCCCGAGGGCTGATGGTGGCTGTGTTGTCTGTCTATGCATGGTGGCTGGTGGCTGTGTTGTCTGTCTATGCATGGATTTTATCATCTTGTCTACACACAGGTGCCCGAGGGCTGATGATGGCTGTGTTGTCTGTCTATGCATGGATTTTATCATCTTGTATACACACAGGTGCCCGAGGGCTGATGGTGGCTGTGTTGTCTGTCTATGCATGGATTTTATCATCTTGTCTACACACAGGTGCCCGAGGGATGATGATGGATGTGTTGTCTGTCTATGCATGGATTTTATCATCTTGTCTACACACAGGTGCCCGAGGGCGGATGATGGCGGTGTTGTCTGTCTGTGCGCGGATTTTATCATCTTCTCTACACACAGGTGCCCGAGGGCTGATGATGAATGTGTTGTCTGTCTATGCATGGATTTTATCATCTTGTCTACACACAGGTGCCCGAGGGCTTATGATGGCTGTGTTGTCTGTCTATGAATTGGTTTTATCATCTTGCCTACACACAGGTGCCCGAGGGCTTATGATGGCTGTGTTGTCTGTCTATGCATGGATTTTATCATCTTGTCTACACACAGCTGCCCGAGGGCTTATGGTGGTTGTGTTGTCTGTCTGTGCATGGATTTTATCATCTTGGCTACACACAGGTGCCCGAGGGCTTATGATGGCTGTGTTGTCTGTCTATGCATGGATTTTATCATCTTGTCTACACACAGCTGCCCGAGGGCTGATGATGGATGTGTTGTCTGTCTATGCATGGATTTTATCATCTTGTCTACACACAGCTGCCCGAGGGCTTATGATGGCTGTGTTGTCTGTCTATGCATGGATTTTATCATCTTGTCTACACACAGCTGCCCGCAGGCTGATGATGAATGTGTTGTCTGTCTATGCATGGTGGCTGGTGGCTGGTGGCTGTGTTGTCTGTCAATGCATGGATTTTATCATCTTGTCTACACACAGGTGCCCGAGGGCTGATGATGGCTGTGTTGTCTGTCTATGCATGGATTTTATCATCTTGTCTACACACAGGTGCCCGAGGGCTGATGATGGTGGTGTTGTCTGTCTGTGTATTGTGATAACTCTCCTCTTGTCTACACACAGGTGCCCGAGTGTTTATGATGGCTGTGTTGTCTGTCTGTGTATGGTGATAACTCTCCTCTTGTCTACACACAGGTGCCCGAGTGTTTATGATGGCTGTGTTGTCTGTCTGTGTATGGTGATAACTCTCCTCTTGTCTACACACAGGTGCCCGAGTGTTGATGATGGCTGTGTTGTCTGTCTGTGTATGGTGATAACTCTCCTCTTGTCTACACACAGGTGCCCGAGTGTTGATGATGGCTGTGTTGTCTGTCTGTGTATGGTTATAACTCTCCTCTTGTCTACACACAGGTGCCCGAGTGTTGATGATGGCTGTGTTGTCTGTCTGTGTATGGTTATTACTCTCCTCTTGTCTACACACAGGTGCCCGAGTGTTGATGATGGCTGTGTTGTCTGTCTGTGTATGGTTATTACTCTCCTCTTGTCTACACACAGGTGCCCGAGTGTTGATGATGGCTGTGTTGTCTGTCTGTGTATGGTGATAACTCTCCTCTTGTCTTCACACAGGTGCTCGAGGGCTGATGATGGCTGTGTTGTCTGTCTGTGTCTGATGATGTCTCTCCTCTTGTCTTCACACAGGTGCCCGAGGGCTGATGATGGCTGTGATTGTAGCAGCTGTTATGAGTGACCTTGACTCTATCTTCAACAGCGCTAGTACGCTGTTCACTATCGACATATGGAAGCGGATCAGAAAGGCGGCATCGGTTACGGAACAGATGATTGTCGGCAGGTGCTGATTCCGTTTGATATTTTGGAGACGAGAGCCTCAAATTTGTAGTTGGCACTCCTTTTACAATATAGACAAACAATTACGTTGACAGGTTTGCTGTAAAGTTTGTAATAATATCGTTATAAGTTTTGTGTGAAGAGAAAACCCTATGCTTGCAGAGAATTCGTTGCTCCAGAATTGTGACCTGGGTAGTTATATGATCGATGCTCTTCATGCCGCCAGCCTCTGATTTGTCGGATAAGGTCGTCGTGCTATATTATTTGATGTTGCCTACAAGAACACTCAACTAATCACACTTGTTTCCACGAGTTACGAACTATTGGACCCGTGAAGATCCGGGGTAGAATAGGTCTTCAGCAACCCATGCTTGCTGTAAAAGGCGACTATGATTGTCGTAAGAGGCGACTAACGGGATCGGGTGGCCAGGCTCGCTGACTTGGTTGATGCATATCTTCGTAACCCAATTGCGTGGATCGATGCTCATGTTGTTAATCACTGGATTATCTGGTCTTGACTCGATTATTTACAGACCGCTGTCATATAGCTGGAATATTGCTGAGTGAGGCGTTAAACAACAAAAACACAAACAAACAAACAAGATTATCTCTATGTTCAGTTTCCTATATTTTTATGGTGATGTCATTGCAGGGTGTTTATCGTGGTGATGGTCGCTGTGTCTATCGCATGGGTTCCCGTTATTAAGGAAACCCAGAGAGGTCAAGTGTTCATCTACATCAACGAGATAACCAACTACTTGGCACCACCCTTCGCTGCAGTGTTTCTCCTAGCTGTACTGGTTCCCCGGGTCAATGAAAAGGTTTAGTTTTTTAATTGTTGAGGTTTAGGGATACATGAGGTGGGATGGGGTGAGATGAAATAGCACTTTTATTACGACGTCCTGTAGTGAAGTATCTACAACACTCCAATTCTCCAACTTTCTCTTTATTTTGATTAATAATCCAGCAAATTCCTACAATACAGCGCAGTGCACTACACCATTCCATTACTTTACTGGACCTCGTATGTCCTGTAAGGACCCTTGATATTAATTATCCGGGATCCCCTGGACCCCAAATCGTGTAAGCCAAGGTAAAACAATACTCACCTTTTCGCGAACACCTGATGTCATCACTGTTTAATGGTGATTCTTAGGCGCAGTCTTATAGTAGTACAATGGACTCGTATAATTATGGACATTATTCTGTCATATTTTTATTAGAAGCATCTTTCCTCTTCAAATTCAATAGGGACCAGGTGAGCTACAGGGCATATGTCGCTATGTTTTCGAAACCGTGATGACCAATGTGTGAGGCAATGCTTGCAGGGTGTGTTCTGGTCTCTGATGTACGCTTTCCTGGTCGGAGTGGTGCGTCTGTTCCTGGTCCTGTCCTTCCAGGGAGAAGGCTACTGTGGGGCGCCATCTACCTCGATCATGCCGGCACTTGTGAGGAACATGCACTACATGTACTTCGCCCTGTTTCTCTTCCTGTCCACTGGTCTGATAGCTCTTGTCATCAGTTACCTCACACCGCCTCCACCAGAGATATACGTGAGTAACATTACAGTCACATTACTTTGAACAACAAACTATCACTTGGAACATTAACACGACCATCAACTTGAATATTTACATCATCATCAACTTGAACATTAAAATCAACCTAAACTGGGATATTAACATCAACTGGAACTAATACAGTGAAATGGACAAACAAAAAACAACAGGTGAAATTTAACAGGAGCATTGAGTCGAAAATGGGCCATGTTCCACCAAACGAAATCGTAGCCCTGAGGTGATTGCTACTTCCATACTGTAACAAAGACTTACGACAGTCGAAGCGTTACGATCGCTTTGTGGAACGGGGTCATGGGTTTGAGCAGTTAACATCATTATCAACTTGAACATTTATGAACAGGAACATAATAGCAACATCAAACATGAACACAATCAACTGGAACATTAACATCTTTAACACGAACATCAATGTGAACAATAACACGAAATTCAACATGAAAATAAACCTGAACTGTTTCTAGGCAGTGCGTAGCTTAGTGGTATAAGCAATCTCTCGTCACGGCGAACACCCAGCTTCGATTCCAACATGGATGCAATCTGTAAATCCCATTGCTGGAGTACTCACTGTACGTGTTTTCACCAATGTTGAACAAATCAAACCAGCGTTGATATGGCTGGCAAATGGCTAACAAGCCTGGAATAAGTCGATACTTTCTTCTCCTTTTAGATACAGAACACAACCCTGTGGTGCTACTTGAACAGGGACAAGCAGAACAGCGAGGACAGCGAGAACACAGACGTCGACCTGAAGATTATGAGCGCCGATGACATTCACGAAGCCAACACCATTAAACCAGGGGACGGCCATGTTGATAGTGCAATGACATCAGAAGATGGAAACGTGGAAGAGAAATTTGTTAGACTGCTTCACGTAGAAAAGAAAGGTGATTCTGTTCAACGGACCTATTCTAATCTATTCTATATACTATGCTCTTATATGCCCTTTCTTTGTGAGTGAATGAGTGTAGTTTTACGGAATGTGTAGCAGCATTCCAGCGGCGGGGGAAACCAACAACGTGTTTACATTGTATTCATGTTGGGAATCGAACCGGAATTTCGGCCTGAATTGAACGCTTTAACCACTAGGCTACCCAGACGCCCGTTTCTTGGTGCATGATTTATGGAATAGTATAAACGTCATTTCGTATATGCTGACAGCCTGAGACATGATCATGAATGAAGCATAATTGGTAATATGGGTTAATATTTGTCTTTAGCAACCCATGCTTGTCATAAGAGGCGACTAACGGGATCGGGTGGTCTGGCTCGCTGACTTGGTTGATGTATGTCATCGTACCCCAATTGCGTGGATCGATGCTCATGATGTCAATCACTGGATTGTCTGGTCCAGACTCGATTATTTACAGACAGCCGTCCTATAGTTTATATTGCTGAGTGCGGCGTTAAACAACAAACAAACAAATAATGGTGATGTAAGACGCCCAATGCCGGTATCGGTGTGGGTATTTGCTAACGTGTATAATGGAATCTGATAGCCTTCTTCTAAATTGGTCTAAACTTAGAAACACATTATATTTTTTATTACAATTCATTATTTATAATTCATAAATAAAAGGCCATAATTCTTATGAAAATAAAACGACAGAACCCTTTCCATAATAATTATCATAAGTCCATTGTACGATTCCGACTATATCGTAAGCATGTTTTTAAGGATTACTCTCATATAGTGATGATACTAGATGTTCACCAGCATATTCTTGGAAAAACAAAACATCCCACACAGTCTTTGGGTCAAAGCATGTTCTGAAAGTACTTGTGTTTGGCGTTGTGTTATGTATTTCATTTACATGACGTTTCAGTAACCAATCGAACTTTTACAGTTGGATAGTTTCCCTGTACCAGCGATCATACATTTCGGTGAAAGAAGTCAGGATAAGTATTAATGCTACACGAGTTGGACAATAAACAGCAAAATCATACCTGGTGAAGCGGCCGTTAAATCAGAGACGCATTACTATTTTTCAACCCGTTCTTATCAGCGTTCGAACATTGAAACAACGCCATTAACAGTGGGAAAGTTGATGTACCTTTAACGCTTCAGTCAATAATATATCAGCGGCGGCCTGCATCTCTATCCGAACAAAATGACCTCAACTAAAAGACTTCATAATGGACCTTCATTAATCATTCATGTCATCAGTTCATCTGTTTTGTTGACACTAATCTGGAGATATTATTGAGGTCCCGCTCTATATTATTTGTTTGTTTGTTGTTTAACGCCGCACTCAGCAATATTTCGGCTATATGACGGCGGTCTGTAAAAATCGAGTCTGGACCAGACAATCCAGTGATTGACAACATGCGCATCGATCCACACAATTGAGATCGATAACATGCATTAACCAAGTCAGCGAGCCTGACCACCCGATCCCGTTAGTCGCCTCTTACGACAAGCATAGTCGCCTTTTACGGCAAGCATGGGTTGCTGAAGACCTATTCTACCCCGGATATTCACAGGCCCCGATGTATTTTAAATCAGATAATACCGTTTCATTTATCATAAATTATCATGCACAGTACTAGCTAAGTTGATGCAAGTCGTATCCCAATTTTGTAGATCGATGCTCATGATGTCAATCACTGAATAGTCTGGTCCAAACTCGATTATTTACAGACCGCCTTCATATAGCTGAATTAGTGTTAAACAACAAACAAACAAATGATTTACCATATATTATGTAATGAATCTGTTCCCACAGATCCTCCAAGCATTACCAGGAGAGTGTTGAACTACGTTTTGGGTATCGGCGACGTCGAGGAACAAACCAATGATGACCAGGGACTGAAAGATCACATGCTTGTCCTAGCCGCCCTCAAACAGACCAGGCTAGAGAAAACAATCCTGACCATCGGCCTTCTGAGCATACTCTCCATAGGGGTAGCCATGTTCATCTTCTGGTCCGTACATATCTTCGACACGAAGCCATTTTATCCTGAAGGTGCCCAAAGACTTCTACCTGGGGATGAACAATTTCTTGACAATTTCGTAAATTATTCTACCTTGTCATATACCGGCACAAATAACAATACTCGACCATAGTAATATGACATCAATGTTTATGTGCATGTTCTATCCTGAAATGTTGATTATTCTCATGCCACATCGACCATTGGTATGTAAATAAAAGCGACAAAATACTTTCCATATTCATTAGAACACTGTGCTAAAAGCTGAGTCTATTGTACGAGTATGTTTTATCACTTTCTGTACAACTTTGGACTGTTTTCTGCAAGTACTAAATTTAATTATTTTTCGAGCATATAAAAGATATCCATTGGCAAGCTATTATTTTCATGTTGTAGAAAGCATGAAAAGGTGTCTTCTTTAGTAAATATTGATAAATATTGCATTCGATATATTTTGATGTTTTTCAAAAATAACATTAATACAGTGAAAAACCATTACTCCCGAGGTAAGTTTTACAGTAAAATCTTCCGGATTAATGTGAACTGACAGGAGGAAAAAGTGCACACCCATGTTTGATGATGGCTGAATGAAACAAACAATAAATAGTTATTTGATGGTGATGTATTTGATACTGGTATGGTAGTTGAACGTTTGCAGTGTTTTGTTGACTGTTTTTACCCCAATATAAAATTGATACCATTTGTAATTTGTAGGTCAAATCCAACTTTTAAGTGTATACTGTCTTTTGTCGGGCAGATTATTTTAGCGTTTGTAGTAATAATCGTCCGGAAGGTAATATTAGTGTTTTCGGATTAAGGTGGTCCTATCTAACGAAGTGTTCGCTGTGCTATTGTCAGCAACGTTTTTGAAAATATACTGTTAATGCCCTGATAATTAGAAAAATAACATATCTTATGCTATTTTGCTTGAAGGTAGAATAATAATCGTTAAAAGTGGCCGTCAGCCAGCAATACTAGTATCACTGGCTTGTCTGTTCAGGTATAGCTACGTATAACTCATGTTGGACAATGTAAACAGGTATCACAAACTGCTTTGAAACACATGTGTCATAAACACTTGTATTGAATTCGTTAGGCTTACATCTGAGCATTTACCTTTTTGGTCCTGCTTTTGATTGAGTCGTCCATTCATAGGTTGGATTACAAACTTTATGCGAGTGGATCATGTATAAGGTCTTCTTCCTGAGGCAAGGGAGTTCACTGACTATGAAAGTCCAGTTTCCACCCAACTTACTTGAATTTTGTGGCTCGATTGCAGCGTCACCAATGCCAATTACGAGTTATGTCCCTTCAATGTCCCGCCTAATGACCAATCAGATTTAACCTCTCACATCACTTGCATTTGGTTCAAACAAAATGTCGGCACCCAGTCAAGATCTGATCGATTATCAAGATCTTTATTGTAATAAAACGGGTCTTACCTCGAGAAGTGCATCAATTCACCTGAGCACCTAGATTACAAACATGAAAAGATCTGGAAACTATCTTTGACACGGTACACATGCTTTGTAAATCCTGCAATGGGCCGAAATCTGCACGGCAGTCGCCATGTTGTTTACGAACTGGATGTCGATTTCGTGACGCGATTTCTGATAGGACTGTGCATAGACTCATTAGTCCAGCTTAAATAGAACTCCATAATTACAGCGCTGGTCGGCAAGGGTTGAAGTTGGACTTTTTAGTCAGTTAATTCTCTTGCCTCTGGAAGACGAATGTATGTTTATTCGTTTAATCAAAATTGTTTACACGATGCATAAGATATGTATAGATAGATGTAAATGAAATTTCATTTTAATTGCAAGCTATTTGGGAAAATGGCTGAACAAAGATAATCAACCAGACCTGTGAAAATCCATGTTTACAATATGAACATGGACAACCAACTGTATTTTGTAGATAGAATAACTGATTGGAGAAGATTGTAACAGTTAAGGGTCTCGAATAAACTGACACCCTAGCGGTTTTTTTCCTTGAACATTTGTAAATTGAAGTGAAAGGTATTATCGATGAATTGGGATACCAACTAAATGAATAATAATAATAATAATAATAATAATGAAAATAATACATGCATTTATAGAGCTTAACAATTCACAAAATAAATATACTCTGCGCTCCCTACAGCTGCCAGAATTATATTCAGAGTCAACAATAAGATCCTCATCAATGTCCACAAGTTTTATTACAACCTTGAACCTGCCTATCTCAGTGAACTCTTATGGATTTTCTCTCCTCAATGAACTCCCCGATCTCAATAACAGCATCTCTTCACAGTTCCCCAGTGTTAGAACTTGTACTTTCGGCAAAAGACGCTGCAGAGTCTCTCAGGAACAATCTGCCGGAAAATCTTAAGTCTGCTCCCACTATTTCCACTTGCAAATCTCACCTTAAGGCCTTTCTTTTTCAAGTTAACTTCTTTGAGAGGCATTTAGAACATGGAGTAATAAGTAAGGGGAAGATATATGGATGAACAACTTCTTTATTACAATTAGGAGTGACGTTTCGGTGTAGGTTCTGACACCGTAATCATACTCCAAGAGCCCAGAGGTTTTGTAAAAGAAGCGACAAAACCCTAAGTTTCCATATCCAATAAAAATGTCTGCATTAAGCAGAGTCGATTTGTACGACTATAGGTTCAGGTGAGCACGTCTTTATGAATCACCTTTGCCACAAACACATGCAAAGGCAAGTCAAATGTTCACCTGAAAAAAACATGGGAACATGTGGTACAAGTCAAAATAGGGATCTGCATCGGACATCATTTTTGTCACTGATGCGTCATATTTTGAAATGTCCTCCACATGTCTACCATAAACCTTTTTGAAAGCTTAACTGAGGCCTTGAATGTAGTTACCTTGATCAAACAACTTCTGAGCAAGAGTCGTATGACACTCTTTGAAATCTTGGTAGAATGAGCATGCTTGATTGTCTCTCAAAAGTTGTGAAATGTAAACACCAAACTTTAAGGCTGGAGCTGATGGTATATTGCTCGACATGAAAGGAAAGTTGACTATTGAAAAGTTGAAGTCATCCCTCTTGTCACACAATCTTGTGGAGAGTGTTTTGTCACCCTGAATCTTTATGCATAGATCTAAATATAAAACAGATGAGGCGGTCTCACAGATCCCCTTTATTTCTAGTTCAGGTGGGTAAATCGGTGGAATGGAATTGTCTATTTCACTGTTTTTGAACGATATCAAATCACCGATACACCCGAAGCCTAAGTGTAACTTCTTGGCCAAACTACCCTGTTTTAACTTTGCTAATCCGAACAGAAAGTCCGATTCATGTGCACAAATAAACAGATCCTCATGAAGGGGAGCACAATTGGTGTCTTACCCCCAAATGTTACGTTGATGTTATCAATGAGGAAATCCAGCATTTCACATATTGTTTTCTCAGTAAACTTCAGATGGCATTTGCTTTCATTCTTCACAACCTCTGAATGCAGATACGCAACTGTATCCATGTTCACCACGTTTTATAACAAAAGCCCCATGGATCAAGGAATGAAGTTTTTCCTTAAGTATGTCATGTGGGATAGTGGTGTACAAACCAAATGATTTGACAGAATGGAACTCGGTTCTCCTCCGAGACTGCAAAATGTCAAGCAAATCCCATGAGTTTGTGAGAATCCACATGTTATTAATTTGATTGTCTTGAGGATAAAGGTTAGCCTTTGAGTCAATGATTTGGTGGTTAATTTGCTGGACCCAGCAATATATCTCTCTTTGTACAAACGAGGAATGAACATGTCTTCGGGGTTTAGAGTCAGGTCAAAAGCCGACAGTATTGATCTATGGCCTTGGCAGACCTCTTCATCAGCCAACACACTGGCCTTATATGTGGCATTATTTGATATTTCATTTATACCAGGTTCTTTGATCAAACGGTTAATGTGGTGATGCTTTCATATAATGGTTATGTTATCTGAGGCCTTATCAGTGGGAACAACTACAAACCTTTCATGTAGGGCAGGCAGAGTTTGGATGACAGCCAGCTAAGACAGAATGGGTCTATTCCAATTCTGTTTCCAGTCTGTGCACTGTACCAATGACAACATCACACACTAATTGCTTAACCCACTCTGAAAGACATTCAACAAGTCCCTCTTCTCTTCTGGTCCACCTTTGGGCACACTCTGGGACAGCATCCATAATGATTCGAAAGTTGTGATCCCAGTTGGTAAGAGGTTGCCCACGGTATTTTGGTCCACATTGGTATAACTGACGAAGGTTGCTATTGTCAACAATGGAGAAGTCACCCATGATTATATGACCTGCAGGTTACCTTTGCCAGCAGAAAATTTCAGAAAGGTTTCATATCCATCCGACATAATTAAAGTTTAATATTCAAATGTCAAACCGAGAAATACAGCCATGTTTGTTCATCACACAATGAATCTCCGTTTGATTATACACTATTTTATGTCGACACTATGGGCCGTAGTCCTACATAACTACTGAATAAAAACTTAGAGAAAACGGAAAACGTATTATCATATACTGAACAGCATTGAAAACCCACCAGCAATAAATCTTGAAATATTACAAAAACAAATTGAGCAATGACCGATTTTGATTAGAACAGACATAGACGGATTATTAAGAAAGACGAAAAGGAAACAGGAATACCACACAGTAATTACAATTACGTCATAGTGTAAGGAAGACACATAGGGTTAAAATGAAAAGTCAATATCTGGTATGTCCGCCATTGACAGCAACACAGGCCATGCAACGTCTTCTCATTGATCGAATAAGTCTGCGAATAGTGTTCTGGGGCATTCCACTCTTGACGTAGTGTATCTTCAAGTTCTCTCAGGTTCTGTACTTGCGGACGACGTGAGAGGCGTTGACCCAGGTAATCCCATAGATGTTCAATTGGCGATAGATCGGGTGACAGTGCTGGCCATGGAAGCAGAGGCACATTATTGTTCGCTAGGCACTTTGTTGAAAGGTGGAAGGTGTGCATATCCTGGTGCTAATGAAAGAATGGGATGATGTGATTTGCCAATATGTTTTCCTGTAGTAAAGGGCATTAATTCTTCCGCGATTATGACTGATGCCGCCCCACACCATGACACTCCCTCCCCCCCCCCCCCCCCCCCCCCCCCCCATCGATCTGTCTGTACAACGCAGTCTTTGTAGTAACGTTCTCCACGTCCGACGCCACACTCGCAGTCGACCGTCAGCATTCCGTAAATGAAAACGGGACTCATCAGAGAACAGCACACCATGCCACTGCCGCAATCTCCAATGTCGATGCCTTTTGGCCCAACGCAGACGTTCATTTCGATGTCGATCAGTGAGTATGGGTCCAACATATGTACGTCGAGCACGTAGCCCTGCTGAGCGGAGACGTCGACGTACGGTGTCAGCACTGATCAATTCCGTCGGCCTTGTACGGTTGCTGCAGTCCTGGTAGCCGGAAGTGTACGATCACGAAGATGCCGACGAACAATATGGCGATGCTGACGTGGTGTAGTTACACGACGTTGACCCGGACGTGGTCGATCTCTGGTGGTTCTTGTCTGCTGGTATCTGCTCAGTAGCCTGAGGACTGTTGAATGATGGCATTGAAACCGTTGTGCAACGACTCTACTTGACGTACCAACTTGAAGCATGCCCAAGGCACGTTCAAGTTCCTCTGCTGTTAATCTTGGCATTTCTTGTGTCAGTACCCTTTACGTCTGCAGCAACAAGTGATGTGGCTTTTAAAAGTCTGTCTTTTATAGCCCTATTCTGCATGCTTCCCGTGAAACAAAACACGTTTTCCATGATGTGCACGCAATTTGTTGCGTTTCGGCGATTTCGCTCATAAAAATATTAGGAATGTGTTTTGACGAGCTGTTCTTCTTCATGCTTCGTCCAGAACGTCTTATATTACTCATTCACTTATATAATTTCATATGACTTAAGCCCGGATAAAAATACATCCATTTTCATGGTGGTGCGTTTTCAATGCTGTTCAGTATATATTCAGTGCGGATTGTTATATTATATTTAATGTCAGTTGCATATCCTGGTTGATACCAGAAAATTTTCAAAACATTTCAGTTGTGTTTTCTTTATCCACATTTAAAAAGCAATAAATAAGCTGTAGATCTAGATTCATTCAGTAATTTTATTCAATGGTCAAGATTACTCACAAAATATTTAACATTCTTGGCAAATATTTCCCAAATGCAAAGCGTGGACAAACTATTGTGCCAATATAAATTGGAATAGTTTCCACAGCATGCATAGTAAGTAGTATCAGCATCTAGATTTACACTGAAGTTTATCCGAAAGTCACAAGAGTTTCTACATAGAGGATGTTTCATGTGTCGAGTGAAATATGTTTCTCCCATCGAGAGAAGGGGGAAAGGACTCCGAGATATTTTCACGAGTGTTGTATATAAGTTTACAGTTTCTAACGAAACATTTTCAAGAGAATAACAAACGGCAAGAAGCGATATTAATTCCATAAATGACCGTATGTCATTATTTTGCCGTATCAATGTGGAACTAACGTAAAAAGGAAAAACAGTGTGTACGGGCTAAACACTTACGATAAAGAGGAGGTTTCTCATGTATTACAATAGTTCCGTCCAAGTGTTATGTTCAATAAAGTGTAATATCATATGTTATGGTCAATGAAAATATCACTCTTTTCAACTTCGAAAAACTCAGCCTTTAACACTGGAATATATAATAAAACACCACATTGATGACAATTATTACATAACAATATATTGGACAAGGCTCAGGGTCGATTTAATGGATATTTGTCATAACATGACGAATAACAGGTAAGCATAACTAAGTTGGAAATTCCTTCTTTCTTTTTACAATGCAATAACACATTAAATCAAACGAATCGATCGACTGTTTCTGCATACATTTCAACGCCATCCTTATTGTACGTGTGATGATTAACCGATCATTTAATTGTCTGCTTGGTGTAGCTTCTGACTGTGACATTAAACAGTTTTCACCCACTCGCATAAATCCTGCTGAATGGGTGGCCAAGAAGTCGAGTTATGTCCCTTGTTCAAGCAACATTTGATGGTAAGTGTCCAAATCCATGATTCGCACAGGCATTTTCGTTATTTTTTCAACAGCCTGAAGCATACTTCATTTATTTATTTATTTATTTATTTATTTATTTTCGCTAAAATCCCGGTCCGACACCATTGAAATACTTTCAATCCGACGTTAAACCCCAAACACTCAACTAATCTAGCTATCGACAACAGTGTTACATCTTTGTGTTTTAAGCGGTCATGGTACAATGTGTTTGGAGCCCATCTTTTGTGCCAAACACTCAAAGTTAACATACTGCTGACAACAGTGTCTGTGTCTGTTTGTAATTATAAATAAAAAAACAACGTCAACTCCAGAGAATAACGTTGGTTGGTTGGTTTGTTGTTTAACGCCGCACTCAGACATATTCCAGCTATATGACGGCGGTCTGTAAATAATCGAGTCTGGACCAGACAATCCAGTGATTAATATCATGAGCATCGATCCACACAATTGGGGTCGATGACATGCATCAACCAAATCAGCGAGCCTGACCACCCGATCCCGTTAGTCGCCTTTTACGACAAGCATAGTCGCCTTTTACGGCAAGCATGGGTTGCTGAAGACCTATTCTACCCCGGAATCGTCACGGGTCCCAGAGAATAACGAGTCTCGATGATCCTTTTATATTAATATTAAGCCAATATGATTCCGTCTTTTTGTGTGCACCAGTTCCCGTTGTCCTAACATCACAACAGAATAATTGAAATAAATGTCCCTGTCGTTTCTTCAGTTACTTTGGTTAAAACCCTAATCTTTTCTGTTAATCGTTCACAATACCAACAGAGTTCTTATCTTCTGGTTCCTCCACTTGGATGAAGAGAACAGCAAAGTCAGCTCAATTTTCAAATAAACATAGGCCCAGATCAAATCTGTATTCCCAGTTCACTTTGCAGACTTATTAGTCGATCCTTTATCTTTGGTATAAGACTACTGCTGTATTTAATATAGGTGAAATCCTGACTCCAAGGATTCAGGCTCTGACTGTCCTTTTTCTCCCGGTAATGATGCATGAGAGCGACTTCTGGGCTGACTACATACATCTCCCAGCCAGGAAGGAACTCCTCCATTATGTGAACATGAATCAGATTCACAGCCTCGGGTTTCACAAGAAGTTTTGATCTGTAGTTTGGACCATTTATGCGAGACCTATTGGTATGCAGGAATGCATTCATTTTGAATTTCTTCGCATCCTTCTTTTCAGTGAACATGTATTTTGTCTCATTTTCATAGAGTGCAAAAAATGCATTTTGGAACATAAGAGCTCCGTATACGTTTTGTTGAGAAGTTGGTTTTCTTGTATTCAGTAGTCTGTCAGCCAGATCTGCTATTGAAACGTTTTTCTTAGGAACAATAATTTCATCAATGTCTGCAAGAAGAACGTATTTTGCCACCCCAAGCTGAGAGAAGACACAGTCATGGATACTCGCCATCTGACCCCAGTAGTGGATCTGGTCTGGAGGAAAGGGAAGCTTCCAGTTCCTCATCTCCACAATGCCTTCTCTCTCATAGTGCAGCAGGACTTTGTTGACATCTTCTGGTATGCTGTAGTTGTAGAACAGGAACTTGTCTGTCCCGAAGTATCTGCTGGTCTCCAGGGCTGTGACAAGTGTGTTGACGTCAGTGAAGTTCCCATGCACTGCAGGGTAACAGCGCGTCAGTCGGTTATAGGGGGGTCCAGGATAGTTGACAGGGAGGACGTTGAGGGGGGAGGACATCCGGGCAGTGAGGACAGAAATGAACTCTGGGTAACTGTTGGGAGGTACTGGGCAGTGAACGAATCCACATCGATTTCTGAAACGAGAAACCAATTTTGAAAGATGACCTTAGTATGAAGAAGGCACATTTTGTACGTTTTCTTTTGGCGTTTATATTGGTATTTCTCGGTTTACAGATCCTATTGAACAAGAATGTGGGGAAAATCAAATTCCAGTTTATAACTGAACCTGATATTCACTGTTTGCAAAATATGTTCGCGTCTGACAGACATGCTCAGTGACCCGTAAAGGTTGGCTCAAAGCTTGAGGTGTAGCCACGATGAATAAAAGCAGTGTGTGACTTTATAAACATTCAGAATGTCACACACATTTCACAGAAAAATATTGATACTTACTTGTAATTACCCCATCTACTTGGAGGGATGTGCTGGAATCGACCTTTAATCCTATGACCCAGGTGGGCCCATGACCTTTTTAGTATGCAGAAGAAAGAGACAGGCTTGAATGGTTCCGGAACGAGGATAAGTGTACGCACTGAGGAGTTGGCAATTTCGTATATGGCAGAAAATATGAAGATTCGAGCGTCCACTTGCTGAAACCCGCTTTGGTAGGGCTTCCTGGGAGGAAATGTGCTTTCAAGTGCGTCTTCTCTTAAACTGGCTTCAGAACGCCTGATGTGTATTTCAGGTGCATTGTAAGCAGCTTTTTGAAGCATCTGTCTAATTCGCTCAGAATTTCGATTGTTCAGCGTTGTTTTGTTTCCGTTTATAATATACGCTTCCTGTTTGGGGGATTTACTACCTGACTGCAACACTGTACTGTCTTTGTTCTTTTGTACAGATACGATAATGTCTCCATGAGTGTTGTCACGAAGCCTGGAAGGCTGTGGAGCAAGGATGCTTGGCCTCGTGGAAAGCCCAGTGTAACTCACGGTTGTGTAAATCAGCAGGGTTCCAAGGCATGTGCCAAGCACCATCATAATCTTACCTTGCTTCATTCTCATCTCCCTGTATAAATAGAAAGAAAACAAAAAATCATTCTTTGGAGACAGTAAACGCTTAAATGCGAGTGGCGAAACTTTATTCCACGCATCTGGAAGTATTGATGAAGCAAGTAAACATCTGGCCTTTGGGAGGGACTTTGCTCTGCAGTCTTGTGCCATGTTCTGCCAAGGACAAGACATTGTAATTTAAATCGTGTCAATCCAATTTGTAAATATTAAGAAGCCGAGACCAGTAACCCCCTTTAAATGTATTTACTGTTGTCCACCACGTTTAGAATCCATTGGTGATTTTTGTGTGAAAATATTAAGTGAGTGGATGCTTTACCGATCTTTAAACTTGATTTGGAAAGACAAAACTGTAAGAGAATGTTAATACGTCAAGTTGACATCGGCAATCTTAGATTTAGTCTTCGTTTGTGTCAGATGGTAGTTATATTGATCGTGAAAATATTGGTAAATTTTCTTTTTATTTAGATTATGAAGTTATAATTTGACAGCTATATGACATAAAGAGTAAAGTGTGGACCGCTCATTTATATTATCACCATCGATCCACACCATCAGGGTACGTTGACACTATACGAACAAAGTCATCGAGCCAGACCACCCGATCCATTACGCCAATCAAAGGTCACTGGAGCCTTTCTTTTAACCCGGAATCAACATGGGTATATTATGAACATGACAACCAACCAAAAATAATGGGACGATTATACTTTACTTACAAATGAGAATATGCAGAGCTTACATGGGAACCATTCTTACACGAAAATATCACTAGGGTTTTGAACGCATTGCCACAATGGTCCTACTTACGTACTTAGCCAGGACATACTTGCCGTAAAAGGCGACTATGCTTGTCGTAAAAGGCGACTAACGGGATCGGGTGGTCAGGCTCGCTGACTTGGTTAATGCATGTCATCGATCCCAATTGCGTGGATGGATGCTCATGATATTAATCACTGGATTGTCTGGTCCAGACTCGATTATTTACAGACCGCCGTCATATAGCTGGAATATTGCTGAGTGCGGCGTTAAACAACAAACCAACCAACCAACTTTATCATAGACTTACAATGGTCACAGCGCAACGATCGCTTTGAGGAACCGGGTCCCATTCGACATGATGTATGAAGAGATATCGAGGGATGGTCACGGATGGATAAGATAAATGAAGGTCAAGGTGTGACATGACATAAAACAAAGCATGTTGTCGGTGTATTGTCAGGGTGCAAACAGCCATTAGGGGTGTGCAGTCAATGAATGTTAAATGAATGTTAAAGATGACTTAGATCAAGAAGGGGTCATGCCCACAGGATTGGTCAAACATTCGTTTATACGGCGTGGCATGTCCCACTGTCCCAATGACAATTTAAGGGAGTCTTGTCCACTCTTCTTGCAGCGCTTGGTTCGGTTCGGGTGGCCTTTGACATCGGCGTACACGTCTCCCGATCACGCTCTCTGGAGGAAAGGTCAGGACCCGCATGCACAAAGCGACCTTAGCGCTAAGATGATCGTAACTCCCATTCTTTAACATAGGCTTACAATAGTTGTAGAGTTGTACAATAGTTGTGCAAGTGGGGCCAGGACCCATGGCTTTCCGTTGCATTCTGGTCATGCTTTGAGGCAGTCAATTACGATACGTGCACGGTAAGCAAAGAACAACTACTGTGCAATGTCCCTTCCATGGACAATATGCAGTGGTGTTCTGGCAGTCATGTTGATTCCTCCTCATAACCGTCACGTTGCCTTACGTTGACGTTCGCATGGCGCCTCAAGACATGCCCACGTCTATCCAGAAAGTCCAGAATGAATCTGCACTCATCAGAAAACATTTACACGTCCCAGTTTTTGCTACACACGCTCTAAGTGAGTGAGTGAGTTGGGTTTAACGCCGCTTTTAACAGTATTCCAGTCATATCACGGCGTGTCAGCTTAATGTGGGAGGAAAGCCCGAAGTGATGCAGGTCTCAGACGTTTACCACTTCGGTGAAACCCAGGAGCACGGGTATGCTGCTGACAAACCTAGAAAACATAATCGGGGATTCGAACCCACATTCGAACCCCCCACACGGTCTAAACATCATTAGCGTATGAATGTGTCGTTTGTAAATGGTGCTATAGCACGTGGTCGCCGAGCATGCAGATTAGTTGCATCAAACGATTTCTAACCGTCGGGTCAGAACTCTGAAGTCCGATGCCTGGCGCAAGTGATTGGCTGTTTGGGTTTGGTTTCTTAAAGCCTGGTTCCTGATTAGTCCATTCAAGACGATCCTAGATCCAAAAGAAAGAGTGAGTGAGTATGGTTTTACGCCGCTTTTAGCAATATTCCAGCAATATCACGGCGGGGGACACCAGAAATCGGCTTCACACATTGTACCCATGTCGGGAATCGAACCCGGGTCTTCGACGTGACGAGCGAACGCTTTAACCACTGGGCTACCCGACCACCCCCCCCCCCCCAAAAAAAAAAAGATAGAGGTTCACTTTGTGGGTCTTCAGGAACCTGTTCGAAAGTCTGTAAATCACAGACAGAGACACATGGAACGTTTTCGCTACCTCACACTGAGTTCTACCAGTTGAACCATGTGAATATATCACGGGCGTTCATCACGTTGTTGACGACCGAACCCCGATCTGATTAGAAATACTGCATTAAAAGCATGGGTAGAGAACTCACACATTTGTTACTGTGCATAATTCATTATGCATAATGAAAATCACCAATACATGACTCAAAGCGATTTGACGACCATTCACTAAAGTGTCAAAATACAAAATGACCGACACATACATACACTCCACGTGCACGGGGAATTGCATAGTCTACGTGCAATGTTTCGGGCGTCAGGTTTTAGTTTCGAAATCTCTATTCGTCATTTTTCAAATCTGATCCTTTTTCCTCTGTCGCCCGATCATAACATTTATATTTAATGATTCCTGCCTTTGGGGATGGGGTGGGGGGAGTATATTTGCACAGGTTTGATTCCTCACTTGGGTACAATATGTGAAATCCACTTTATGTACATACATGCACACACACACACGCACGCACGCACGAACGTACGTACGCACTCCCGCACGCACGCAAGCGCGCACACACACGTGTTATTTAGCAAAGTAAAGCGCACAGCTCAAAACCATCACACCCGTGAAGAGATCCGTGAAGATCCGGGGAAGAATAGGTCTTCAGCAACCCGTGCTTGCCGTGAAAAGCGACAATGCTTGGCGTACACTGCAAACACGAAAACGTCGTTTTTTCCGAATATGGTCATTGGACGGAAAAACGACTAAAAATTCATCAAAATTGATTAATTGGTGAGCGTCTAGAAAGTGTCCGGAAATGTGTCGAGTTTTTCAAGCCTAAAATGGACGGAAATACGATGCCTTTTGCTCCGCCTTGTACAACTGTTAACGGCCAATCAGATGGCGCTGGTCCCCCGACGCACGTGATGCCCAAGGCTTTAGGTTTCGTATTTCTTACATGCCTTGCTCTAGTATCTGTCGCGCGCAGTGCAGCGAGATTTGCTGATAAGTCAGTTTTAGGATATGTAACCTATTATTGGAATTCAGACACGCGCCAAGAAGTCAGACCGAACCATGTTATCAAGTTTAATGAGATATCATTTCCCTCCGCTATGCACAGTTACCTCTATCGGATAATGGGTTGTTTTATTTGGTTATAACAGTAACTATTTTTTTAATGTGAAGTTTACACGATATACGGCTTTTCCATTGGACGAGAGGTCGGTCACATGACGTTTTTCACTTGACTGTATTCTTGAAATGACGTAAACACTGACTACTTCCACATTCCTGGGGAAAACCCTGTGAATTCCCTTGCACGAATTCATACAGAAGCGTTGATTCTCATCATTTAGACCCTTTAAGTTTGAACTTAGCGTCTTAGCATACACTGGGATAAGTCAGAGAGTTGGATTGCATGCCCGTTCAAGGATACCCTCGCTACAACCCATCCTAGAGAAAAAAACCCGGAGCAAAGCACATCCAAACTATCGTAGTGACAGTCTATAGCAATCTATAAATTTACCTTAGTATCTATTTGACACATCTTAAAAATCACCTGATGATCGGCCAATTGATCAGTGATGACAAAGGCTTGCATTTTGACGTCTTGTACTTGATGTAAATGTATTACGACTCTCTGTCACTGTGATTGACTTACTGAGGTAGTTCTTAACAGACCTTCTCATCTAATGAGGATATTTTTTGGAATACATTTCTTGTAAACAACCGGATGTTCCTGAAAAGCAATTTGAGCACACGTACGCTCATGTGACCTCTCTTTTAGGTGAACTATTTTATTCCGGGATGGCGTATTAAAGCTAGTGGTAAGTCAAGTGTTATCATATATGTTTAACAAATACGGTTTTGGGCGTTAATAAAATACACTGACGCAAGTATATTCTGATCAAATCAACTGGATCAATGAAGATGCTTTCTTATTACATAACATCACTACACATAATTTGGTCAGTTGAAGTAACACAATACGGTGAGCGCATTAAACACCACTTTGAACAGTATTTCAGTTATATCACGGTGTATCAGACTGATGTGGGATAAAAATCCAAAGTGGTTCAGGACATCCAACGGGTGTTCGCGTAAAGATGAGCGTATTCTGCCACACAGGTGGCACCCATCACAAACACATGCAAGGACACGTCAATTGTTCACCTGAACAAAGCACGGAAACACACAATGACGCCCGTCCTCGCTATTACCGAGCATGTAAGTTATTTTGTCCGTCAAAAACATGGGCGAGTATCAATAATATTTTCCTACAGGTAATACATGTCAAACATTTGACAAAATGTATTGACTTAGCATTATTGTTAATCACAGCGTATAGACTCGGCATGCAGTTGAACTCATCACCAATCCCATTATTGATAATCCTTCTTGAAGAGCTATGAAATCAGAGCCTGGAATAGCGCATTTATACACTTTATTTGTCAATTTGCTTGTAAGACATCTATTGAA